CCTCCAGGAGCGATTCGAACACGACGTCGATTCGGAGTCCCCTCTTGGGCCGATGTTTGGAGGATCTCTCGAGCGAAACGGCTATTTTTCAAACACCTTTCTTGACATGAACGGGAAGCGCGTGAAATCAAAGAGCTTGGCAAGAACGTGCACCAACATCAAGGTCGCATGTCGCGTAGACGCTCTCCCCGAACGTCACAAAGGAAACCAGGCGGACGTCGCTATCCGCGCCAAGTCAGACGTGCCGCTGACCCCGAACATCCGCAAAAAGAACCACATGGAGTTCACGATCCGCCAAATTCCGACGTGCCGCTCGCCCCGAACGTCCACAAAGGATACCAAATGGAATTCACAATGCACGCAACTTCAGTCACCGCTCACCGCGAACATCCACAACAAGTACCAGGTGGAGTTCACCACCCGCGCGAGTTTAGACGTCGCTCTTACCCCGAACGCCCACAACAAATATCAGGTGGAGTTCACTTTCCGCGCGAGTTCACAAATTGTTGGAGGATGTCTCGAGCGAAACGCTATGTTTCCCCAACCCTCATATGGTTGGGTACTCGTTCTGAATAGAGCAGTGTGGTCGCCCCGTCCACCTCCTCCTCCTCCTCCTCCTCCCCTCTCCTCCCCTCCTCCTTCCTCCTGTTTCCGTCGTGTCGTCGGGCTGCGATCTGCGCAACTGTCGCCACTTTCGTGGGCTCCTGGGAGGCCCAGCGGAGGTGGGTCCCACGCGGATCACCTCGGTACCTCGCCGCCCCCTTGGGGGCTTGCGATCTGCGCAACTGTCGCCACTTTCGTGGGCTCATGGGAGGCCCAGCGGAGGTGGGTCCCACGCGAATCACCTCGGTACCTCGCCGCCCCCTGGGGGGCTTGCGATCTGCGCAACTGTCGCCGCTTTCGTGGGCTCCTGGGAGGCCCAGCGGAGGTGGGTCCCACGCGGATCACCTCGGTACCTCGCCGCCCCGTTGGGGGGCTTGCGATCTGCGCAACTGTCGCCGCTTTCGTGGGCTCCTGGGAGGCCCAGCGGAGGTGGGTCCCACGCGGATCACCTCGGTACCTCGCCGCCCCCTGGGGGGCTTGCGATCTGCGCAACTGTCGCCACTTTCGTGGGCTCCTGGGAGGCCCAGCGGAGGTGGTCCCACGCGGATCACCTCGGTACCTCGCCGCCCCCTTGGGGGCTTGCGATCTGCGCAACTGTCGCCACTTTCGTGGGCTCATGGGAGGCCCAGCGGAGGTGGGTCCCACGCGGATCACCTCGGTACCTCGCCGCCCCGTTGGGGGGCTTGCGATCTGCGCAACTGTCGCCGCTTTCGTGGGCTCCTGGGAGGCCCAGCGGAGGTGGGTCCCACGCGGATCACCCCGGTACCTCGCCGCCCCGTTGGGGGGCTTGCGATCTGCGCAACTGTCGCCGCTTTCGTGGGCTCCTGGGAGGCCCAGCGGAGGTGGGTCCCACGCGGATCACCTCGGTACCTCGCCGCCCCGTTGGGGGGCTTGCGATCTGCGCAACTGTCGCCGCTTTCGTGCGCTCTTGGGTCGCCACGTGGCCGTCGGTGGCGCTTCTGTCGTTTCTCAGCTGTGCCGAAGCGCACTCTCGAAAAGAAGCTGGCGCCAGCGGCGTGCCCTTGTCTTGTCTGCAGAGTTGTGTGAGTGCCTCTGGAGGGAAGTCTGGTGGGACCCAGTCGAGGCAGCACCCGCCCCTTTCGGGTCGGACGGAAAGAGGGGGTCCGCGAATCAGCTCACGAATCTGATTTCCCAGCGCCCCCCGGCGCCAACGCATCAAGGAAAGGCGCCCAGCGGCGGGGGCCGACACCAGCCGCAAGCAACAAGTTTCGCAACCCCAATTTTTACTGTCCCCCCGTCTCGTCCGACCCGACCTGTGATGGGGGAAGATGCGGAGGGGCCCAGGGCTCAGCCGGGGGATGGAGGCCGCTGAAGGGGCCTCTTCGCCATGGGGCCCAGCGGAAGCGCCTGTTCTGGGTTGCGCTCAAAAGATCGGCAATGCCGCTGACATGTACCAGTTTGACAGCCAACGGCAACATGGGCAGGGTTTCTGTCTTGGCTGTTGATCTTCAAACCCCCGACAAAACTCACTCGATGTTCAACCCGCGGCAAAAAACACGCCTGTTCGCATCAGCGGATGATATGCGTAAAATGTGTCAGGCGTGCGGGAGGGCTCCTGAAACCTTCACATAACGCTCGTTTCCTTGGACGCGGAAGCCGTCTAGCCAACTCGGCCCCTGCATCCCAGGCCATGTGTCAGTGCATCAAGATATGGAGACAGTGTCCCTGCCGAACATCACTCGCTTCTCGAAGTGCAACTGCAAGCTCCGGAATGAGAGCAGCACAAGCTCTGGACTGCTCAATGCCCCAGAACGCTTGCCAGCCCCGAGCTGGTGACCCACCCGAGATCGCCGCTCCCACCCTTTCCACATCCACTGCAGGCATGCAGGTGGGGCTTGCTGGTCTGAACTTGTTCCTGCATCGAAGAAATTGGGGAAACCATGAGGTACCGATACCGCTTCTCTCTGGACCTCTCCAGGGGTGCGTTCTGACCAACAATCCGAGGCGAACCCAGCCGTGGCGACGAGGGCGGCCCGCCAGAGGCTCAAAAAAGGGAAAACGAAGGATGGGTGCCGGCATGGGTACCTTTCTTTCTCCTCGGAAGCATTGGAGACCAGCACGGGTATCTTTCTGCCCCCCCCACCTCGACCTGCCCGTATTTCAACCGCCATCCCCCCCACCCTGTAACCGCCGGCCTTCGGAAGCGAGCCCTGCTTCGTGGCCACAACCCGCCAGCCCCCACCGCGCAGGGAGCAGCGGCCACGTGGCACCGCCGTCGCCACACAGGAGGCGGAGGAGGAGGAGGAGGACGAGGAGGCAAGGAGGCCAAAGAGACAACAATTGGCGGCGAGCCATTGGGGGGAAATGAACAGAAAAATCTTGCGTTTTCGGGGGGAACTCAGAGAACTACTCGGAAGGCCAGAAGACTTCGGAGCTTTCTGAAAAAGGCCCGCCCCCTGTCACCCCCCCCCCCCCGCGCGCGCCGCCGAAATCACGCAGGCTCTGGCAGGGTCCAGGCACAAAGTATCAGGACGCGGCGCGGATTGAGCGCTCGACTGTGTCTGTTTTGCCACGCGGCACCTCCTTGAAGCAGGCCCATCGCAGCGCATCGCCTGGAATCGTCCTACTCCTTTCGCCTTCCTCTCAACTATCCTACTCGTGTTGCCTTCCTCCTTTTCTTCCTCCTCCTTCTCTTCTTTATGTTTTTAGTATTATTATTATTATTGTTATTATTATTATGGTTATCATTACTGTTAGTGTTTTTATTATTATTATTTTCATCATTATTATTACTGTTATTAGCATTATTGTTATTAGTATGATTATTAGTATCATTATTATTATTATTCAGCATTGTGGTTTTATTGCTGTTGTTGAAGCTAGTACTATTAGGATTATTGTTATTCCTCCTCCTCCTCCGCATGTTCCTCCTCATGTTCCTCCTCCTCCTCCTCCCTCCTCCTCCTCCTCCTCCTACCTCCTCCTCCTCCTCCTACCTCCACCTACATCGGAGTGGCCGGAAACACGCCCCAAGCGAAGGCTGGCTGCGAGGCCTCTCTCACAACGAGGCGCGCCTTCATCCACCTTCGCGCTTTGTGATGCGAGAACCGCGAAGGGCGTTCGTCTTCGCGCCCACCAGATCCAGGAGGGCGGGGGGATTAACACACGGCCCACCAGGACCAAGGCAACGCGACATCGAGGCCGCAGAACGCGACTGAGCTATTCGGCTGGTTCCTTCAACGCCAGCGGCATTCGCAGCTCAGGAAGGGGGCGAGGGGGGCCGAGGTGACAGGACTGGCGCTCGCCGCGGGCCGAGGTCACGTCAGCCTATCTCGGGTGCGAAACATTCGCATGTTGTGCGTTTGTGCTCGCCGAGCTTACACACAATCGACGGCTACAGCGTTATTTCGCCGCCACATCGCCGTGCACCCCGACAGGACAAACCAAATCACCTGGAAATTTCATCACCCAATCCAACACACCAGCTCCACCACCGAGAAGGAAGTAGGCGCTTAAGCGTGGGCTGCGGTGGCTCTTGCGCACATCTGAATATGGATGACTGTCAGAAGAAACAATCATGGACATCGTGCCAACTTCCACGTTGGGCAATTGCGCAAACAGGATGTAAGAAAACCCGCAGAAGACTCCCAGAGACACTCAAGAGTCCTCCAAGATAACTCGGACAAACTACGAAGGAGTTCGGCACGACATGAACGCCCATGTGCATTCTATGATTATTTGCATTTGTGGATTCAATCTTCGAAGGCGAAGCTTGGGTGGGGGCGGGTTCTCCTGACTGTTGTCCCCAATCGACCCAGCGACTGCTTCGCCCCAGAGCGAGCTCCACGCGATTGTTTGGGGAAACTACCACCACCCAGCTGCGTCTGAGGCTTCCAATCGCCACGAGCACGCACTCAGATAGCAATGGCCCTTCGCGGTGCCATAGAGGCTGGGAAAATGCGCGAAGCGGTTGGAACCCCCCCCCTCGAACATAGCCTCACGACCTCAGCAAGTACCCAGGAAGACCCCACGACCCCAGCGAATGCCCAACATATCAACATATCCCCTGACAGGGCCCCCAGGGGCTAGCGCCTGTCAAGACCTGGAGCAGACTCCCGAGAGACCCCAGGGAGCCTCCACCAAGCCCCCAGAAAGACACCAATGCGGCAGTCAAATGCGCGACCGGCGAGGCGTGCGTACAGACGGAAAGGGGGGCCGGGAGGACGCAACAGGCAGGGAGCAGGAGGAAGCGGAAGGAGGCAAGGAAGGGGGAGAGGAGAAGTCACCGCCATCAGACACCAGCACCAGCACCCTCCCCTGAGGCTCAGGAGCCATCCGCTGGACACTCACTCGCGGGGGCTGGACATTCGCTCGCAGGGGCAAGAACGATGCCTCCCGTCGATCAGGGACGGCGGAGGCCCTGGCGACAGCCTCTCGGCTGAAAAGAGCAAGTGGCATTCCAGTCGGTATCGCGGACGCCACGGCCGCAAGCTTCGGAGTGCCCTCCCCACCATCCGCAGATCCAGCAGCCCTGCAGGTCCTTCATATCCTCCTCCACTTGGCCTTGCTCCTTCTCCTGACACAGAGAGCCGGAGAGAATGGAGCCGAAATAAGCTTCAGAGCACGCCCCGATCAACGACTGACTCCGAAGTAGGAGGAAACCAACGACACACCTGCACCGATCCTAGCCAGGCTCATCCTAGGCCCAGGATCCGTGTATACGCTGCTCCCCTGGTTTGGGCAAGAAAACACATTCGCCGATCATGGGCCCATGATCGGCCTGGCCAGGATCGGCCCCGAAACCAAAAGGACGAACACGAACTTTCGTGACTCTGGATGAACAGCAGTAAACGTGACCCAGCAACCCTTTGGGAGGAGACCTAAGTGGAGGGCCGATCGTAGTGGGGACTGGTTGTTTCACAAATGTCTCAGACGAAACCACCCACATGCTAAGGGCATCCCTAAAAGCACTGGACCTGAATTAGGTCACGGCTTCATAGTGTTACGCGGAAGTGGGGATTGTAGAAAGTATGCTAGATGCCCATCGCCAACAATGTAACCATCACAATCGAACTGGGAGAGTGTCCCCGAGGAACTCGCGGAGGATGTAATATCAAAACAGGTTCCCGCCGTGAAGGGGGGCGAAAGTATCCATTCAATGCTCTGCGACGCCCTCGTGGGCGTGTCGCCAAATATTTCCGAATGTGGATGAATCCCTGGCGCGGGTCTACACTCTGTTTACAAAAGGCTGCCAAAACACCTTCAACACTTCGCGTAGAATGTTGGGTATCTCCTAGGAGCCTCGTGTCGCCTCTTGGTCACTCTTGGGGGCGTCTGACCCCGACCTTCCCTCTGCCTGGATCATCGTGCGGGTCGTCGTCCAGGGTCGGCGGCACTGGCCGCAAGGCCTGAACAGTCTGGATTTGGACAAATCCCTAGTGCAGGCCTGGACTCTGAGCACCCCTTCGCGCTTGAGCAGACGTTGCTGCTCGCCTCCCCCACCCCCCCGAGCGCCATGTGGGCTGCGGCCTCTACGGCGAGCAGCACCAGCACGGAGACCGCAGCGCCCCCGTGCACCTCTGGCGCAGGGGGCAGCAAAAATACGGGATCTGATGGAGGCCTCCCTGGGAGCCCCAGGACCACTCCCTGGGAGCCCCTGAAGCGACGGGGGAGGCGATGAGAGAGGACATTTCCGGACACTTCGCAAAGCACGCGCTGCGTGCAAGAAACAGAAGGAAAAAGGATACGGGGCGACGAGATCCCCTCACACCGCTCGGCCGCATACCGGACAGGAGAAGGAAAGGAGAGAGGGGGAGGAGGGAGGTTAGGAGACCACCCGATCGTCCCAGGGCCCATATCGATCGAGACACCGAACCTTCCAAGGGGCCTACTCACCCGCGAGGCCTCATGTTCTCCACAACGCCACACGACAATGTGACCCGAAGCAGGCGGTCATGAGCCACACATCCGAGCATGCGCCCGTTCTGCGCTTGGGAGAGAAAGGAGAGAAATGTATACAGAGAGAGAGAGAGAGAAAGAGAGAGAGAGAGAGAGAAAGAGAGAGAAACGACAACAACAACAACAACAGCAACAACAACAACAACAGCAACAACAACAACAAAAACAACAACAACAGCAGCAACAACAACAACAACAACATCAGCAGCAGCAACAACAACAACAACAACAACAACAACAACAAGAACAACAACAACAACAATCACTTTACCCGAACGCTCAGTGTTCTCACCAGTGCCAGGGTTTTCATGCGACGCCAGCCAATACCCCCACTTTGTGGGGGGGCAGTGCAAGCTCTACCAAATATCCACACGACTCTTCGCCACCACCCACACCCAGCTTCCCGCCCTATGACGTTCGGACACTTCACTTCGTGGCCTGCGGACGACCGTGGCTACTACACTGGCGTGGAGTACACACCCACAGAAGTTGTTAGGACAGCGCGCGCGGGTAGAAATTTTGAAAAGTCGTGCAGGTGTTTTTCGAGGACCTACGGTGCGATTCGTGTGATTTTATGATGCGCGGTGCTAAAATTCTTAAGAAGCCCAATGGTTTTTGGAGATTTCGGCGTGCGCGCGCGAAGAAAAAACGAATGTGTCCCGCATGGTATTATTTGACAGGGATGATGGCCCTGGCAGGTGCGCAACCGTTGTCGCAGAAGTTCGAAAAAGTTGCTCGCAAAAGCCCGTTTGACAGAAATGTTTAAAAAGTGTTGGGTTTCCTACGAATCCGCAAGAGCGCGCGGGATGAGATTTTGACATTTTTTTGTTGAAAAACCATTGGTTTTTTGATGTTTTTATGTTAAAATCGCTGCGAACACTAAGCTTTTGGAAGGATTTCGTCTTGCGCGCGCGAATGTCCACTTTACCTTATTTTTTGCAAGGGATTCTTGAAATTTGATTATATTAGAACAAGAAATGTCATTTTATAGTGTTTTTTGCAAGGGAAAACGGATTACAACAAAACAACCGGATCTGGATCACCGGATCTGGATGAGGCTTCCTCACGAAAATGATGAAAATGTGGCTGCGGCCTAGGCGCGGCGAGGGGGGCGTGCACCAGGGGGCCCAACAATAATTATTCTTTAGAAGTGATAATATTCAACAACAACAACACCAACAACAACAACAACAACAACAACAACAACCACAACACCACCAACAACAACAACAACAGCAACAGCAACCTCAACAGCAACAACAGCAACAACAACACCAACAACAACAACAACATCAACAACAACAACAACAACAACAACAGCAACAACAACAACAACAACAGCCACAACATCAACAACAGCAACAACAACAGCAACAACAGCAACAACAACAGCAACAGCAGCAGCAACAGCAACAACAAAAGTTCACGAGAAGTGCGCGCGCGCATCCCACCCCCCCAACGGGATTGTGGGGGGTGGGGTGTCCCTGTGCGCGCTTCGCGGCGCTCGTGCACCAGCCCCCCCGCCATGCCTCGGCTGCGCCCGAAAGCGAGCTCATTCTTCGAACACGGCGCCCCACACAGCCCCCCCTCTCAAAAGGAGAACATAGTGGCGATGCGTCCACGGGGAATCGCCCCGCGAAAATGACCAGTGGAACGTCGTCACGCAATTGAAATATCGAGCGAAGCTTCGTTTTACCATGCGTCGAGCGCGCGTCGCACCATGCGCGGTGACACAATCGCGCAACTTCGGCGACGAAGTTTTTTAGCGTTCGGGTCGGCGCGCCGACCCAAGCAGAACACTGGCGCACCGCGTCGGCGACTGGCTCAGCGACGAATGTGTATCCGCTGGAGTCGGCGCGCGGCGCCAAGAATCTCCCTGACTGGCCTGGATAGCGCTCGAGCGCGCGCAGGCGAATAACCTCATGCCCGTGAGAATAAACACTAGGGGATAATAAAGTTCGGGGTTCAGGGAGGGATAATAAAAGTAGCCCAGCAGACCTCAGCATAATCTCGAAGTAAGAGATGATCAAGAGGAGACCAAGCCGAGCACGTTTTGAGACATCCTTGGCGTTTAGTTTTCATAGAAATATCCTCAACAATGGCGTATCTCTCATGAAAATTGTTTTTTTTGTAAGTGCTCGTGTACGGTAGCTCATGTGCCTCAATTTCCATGGATAATCAACCCCAGGGATAAAAAAGTTCAGGCGAGCGTGGGGACAGAGAGAAATATAAAAGAAGAAGAATACAGTAGAAGAATAAAAGGAAAGAAGAAGAAGAGGAGAATAAGAAGAGGACGAAGAAAGGAAAAATCCAAAGTTCCAAATCTATCAATTTTAATTTACAAACGCTTTATGAAACTTGACTTTTTAAAGTGCTCGTGTAGGGTAGCTCATGTGCTTCATTTTCCATGGATAATCAACCCCAGGGATAAAAAAGTTCAGGCGAGCGTGAGGACAGATGGAAATGTAAAAGAAGAAAAGGAAAGTAGAATAATAATACGAACATTGCTCGTTTCGTTTGAGTCTGCCTCCCAAAATTATTGGTTTCGCTTGACACATCCTGAAAAAGTGTGATCGCTTCGCTTGATGTTGCTATATCAACATCGCTTGATGCTGCTATCTCAACATAGCGTTTCGAGGTGATAATGAAGTTCGGCCTCAGCGCTCGCCGCCCAATTTGAATTTTGTATAGGGCGACGATAATCAACTCTAAACACTGAAGAGGGGGGGGTCCCTTTATTATCGTCGGCATGCGGTTACTCGCGCGTCGCAGAGGAGGCCCAATCTCGGAACGCGATGCATCGCGCCGGGGTCAGCGTGCGGCGCCAAGCCGACTCTGCGCGCGACTTGCAAGCGCGAGCGCACGCGGGATGACTCCTCGCGTGGCGTCGGCAGCGTTATCGGCAAACGACGTTCGCGCGGCGGCCGGCGCGTAGCGCCAAGCGGGACGACGCCTCGCTGCGCGGCTGGTGACGTGCGAGTGCGGGCGGGCGCCCGTTGGGTTGCGCCGCGGCGGCGTCGCAGATGCAAGCGATCGCTCCGCAGCACGCCACGCGAAGGGGGGGGGCTGCATGAGAAGACGCCGACAGCAGCCGCGTCGCTCGCGCTCGGGCTGGCGCGCGGGGCCAAGCCGCTCGCCTGCTCTCCTGGGTAGCGCTCGCGCGCGCAGGGGACGCCTCGCCCGCAGCACGACCGGCCGACTCCTGGCACGCAGCACGCTGCGCCAGGGTCGGCGCGCGGCGCCCCTCCCCGTCTCGCGCCGGGGTCGGCGCACGTGGCGAGGCCCCGGCTGCAGCCGCCACGCCAACGCCACGCGCCCGCAGACGCCACGCAGCCGCCACGCCAACGCCACACGCCCGCAAACGCCACGCAGCCGCCACGCCAACGCCACACGCCCGCAAACGCCACGCAGTCGCCACGCAGACGCCACACGCCCGCAAGCGCGGGGTGGGGGGCGGCTGCGTCCGAAAACGTCCGCAGAGCGCGCCGCGCGCCAACGGCGCGCAGGAGCGCCCTCTGGACGCACCAGAGAGCGCCGCGTGCGAGCGGCGGGCAGGCACGGAGCCGCCCTCGGGGCGCGCCAGACGCCTCCTTCTAAGACGCCTGCCCCCCTCCCCATGGCCCCCTTGCGCGTGGCCGGCGTTCAGAGCCAGGGGAGACGGTGCATCAAATTGCAGCAGGGCCACGTCAAACATCCAGGACTGCCAAGGGAGCGCGAGGCCCAAAGGGGCCGACATGGAGGCAACTCACATGTGCCTCGGGCATAATGGATTCGGTTCCCCTCCTGGCCGTAACCTAGTCAAAATCGGTCCAAGCACGCCTCCTCGGCAACAGTCCAACAGCGCCGATGAGGGGCGACTGCTGAGCGTGTCAGAGTGAGAGGGCCGACCGGTCTTACACGATCCCTGATTGCGTGGTTGAAGTGGGGCTACCTGAGAGAGTCGGGGCTCGCCAGTATCCCTACCACCTCCTTCCATCCTCCCCCGCTGGCCTACCCTCGCACCCAACATGCTCCCACCGCTGCTGTTTGGGCCCACATGGGCCTTGACCATTTACGGTCCCGCCCGTGCCGGGCGACAGATGCGTGCTAGTCTCAGCTGAGGCCTAGACTCAAGATCGCCCCCAGAGCGCCCAAGAGGCCTCCAAGATGGCCCAAGGACTGCCCAAGAGGCCCCCAATACGGCCTCAAGAGGGCACAAAGACGACCCAAGAGGCCTCCAAGACGCCCAAGATGGCCTCTAACACGGCCCTGGAGCACCCCAAGAGGGCCTTAAGTCGGCCCAGAGAGGCCACACGGCTTCCGACGGCGTCAGACGGGCCAGGAGCCCACCAAGATGGCCGAAGTTGGCTCGAAGCTGGAGCAAGACGGCCCACGATGCCTCCAAGAGGGCCTCCAGAAGGCCAGAAGAGGCCAAAATCAATGATGTTTCCAAGGTTTTTTCTTAAAGCATGATTTGCTTCTGTTCGGTCTTCCGGCGGCCCGAGACGGCCCCACAGATCGCCCAAGAGGCATTCAAGATGGCCCCAGAACGACCCAAGAGGCCCCCAAGACGGCCCTAAGAGGCCCCCAAGACGGCCTGGCCTCCAAGCTCGGCCCTGAAGCACCCCAAGAAAGCCCCA